CCAGAGCTTGCACTCTGGCCCGGGACACGTCTCTCACATTGTACACTGACTCCAAGTACGTATTCCACATTCTCTTGTCCCACGCGGCAGTATGGAAAGAACGAGGCCTCCTCACCACAAAAGGGAATTCCATAACTAATTCAGCCTTAATTACTAAACTTTTAGAGGCTTCACAACTCCCACACCGACTAGGCATAGTCCACTGCAAATCACATCAAAAAGATGACTCCCCCATTGCAAGAGGTAACAACAAGGCCGACAGAGTAGCCCGGTCAGTTGCCCTATCAGAAAACGCACCAGACAACAATCCGTCTGCCCTTGCAGTTTTAGCCTTATCACAAGACGCCCTCTGCTCTCAGGACAAAGAGTCTCTCTTCCGCCTCTTACATGACCTGTTCCATCCCAGCCCCCAATCCTTAATCCATTTTTTACAATCTTTTTTTCCTCTCTCTCCTGAAGACAAAACCCTACTTAACCAAATCACCTGCAAGTGCACCATCTGCCAACGCACTAACCCTAATACCCCCCTCAAAGCCCGACCCTTCCCGGCTCATCAAGCAAGGGGTAATGTCCCCGCTGCAGATTGGCAAATAGACTTCACTAACATGCCCCCTGTACGACGTACCAGATACCTACTCGTGCTAGTAGATACATTTTCAGGATGGGTTGAAGCTTTCCCCACCACTAACAAACGAGCATCCGTAGTTGCCTCTATCCTCCTCACCCAGATCTTTCCTAGGTTCGGGATGCCCACTTCCCTCCAATCAGATAACGGCCCTGAGTTCACTGCCCAAATTATCCAGAACCTCTCCAAGTCGCTCTCGCTCCCCTGGCATTTACATTGTCCTTATCGACCACAAGCTTCAGGAAAAGTAGAAAGAGCCAATAGGACTCTAAAAGACATCCTGACCAAACTATCTCTAGAACTACACCTTGACTGGGTTCGCTTACTTCCCTTAGCTCTACTCCGCATTCGAGCCCTCCCAAAGAAACCTTCCTTCTTGTCGCCCTTTGAGATCATGTACGGCCGCCCGATTCTACCCCCGGGGCTCCCTTCCCACAAAGGACCAATTCCTCCCAATATAGCCCTTCCACTACTCTCTCTCCTCCGCACTGAATTGTGGAAATATCAGGATTGGCTCCTTCCTGATCCATCCGCCTCCCAAAATCCTCCTGTCTTACAGCCCGGCCAACTAGTGTTTTATAAGCCACCAGAGGATCGGCCCTCTCTCACCCCGAAATGGGAAGGTCCACACCCAGTTATTCTCTGCACCCCCTCGGCCGCCAAGCTCTCACTGCCTGATAACTCTGTCACCCCTTGGATTCATATCTCCAGGTTGAAACCAAATACCCAAGACTCACCTTCTCTGGACACCCAAGACCCATCAGTCACAATCCAGAGTCCTTCGGACACAGCCCAAGACGCTGTCTACTCTACCACGCCTCATCCCTCTGATCCCTTGAAGCTCCGCATCTCCCGTGCACCCTCTTTGCCATCCATACCTGAATCATGACTTTTTCCTCCTTTACTGCTCTCTCGCTTTTTTCCCTCATTCCTATTGTCTTCCCTGCCGCCCCATCCTCCTTTGTATGGCGATTCAAAGTCAAGCAGACTTACACACAGCATCAAACAAAAGTTACTGCCCTCATTGCCACATCAGACTGCCCTCTGAAAGGCTGCTCTGAGCCTTTGTACCTCCACTTTCCTCCCTCCACTGAAGTATTCATTTACAGCTACCTTTATTCTCCCTACCTCTGCTTCCTCTATGACCAAAGACAAGCCTATTGCAGGCGATGGCCAGACACCTACGGGGGATGCCCCTACTGGTCTTGCACCATTCACTACATGGGTGACTTCCAGTACCCACAGTATTACTCCTCCAACCGTTTCATGAAATATCCCAACGGCTCATTCTCCTTATCAATCCCAGATCCCTGGGACTCTCGATGGGCTGCTGGAGTAACAGCCTCAGTTTACTACAAGGGGTCCTCGACCCCCCACGGTACCCTTCATATCTCTCGAGAGTATGTTCCCTCTCGCTCCCAGATCTCTCAAGTTGCATCAGATATCAGACATTCCGAAAAAGTCATTATCCAAACTCTTGACGGCGCCTCTTCATCTTCTTATTCCTCCTACTCTTGGTTACAGCTCATTCAAGACACCACCATCTTTCTCAACCACACCCTCAACACCGCCAATTGTTTCTTGTGCGCATCACTACAGCGCCCACTGCTGGCCGCCGTGCCCCTTAATATTTCCAACTACTCCTTCCATGCAGAAGGACAACCCCTCCGTCCCCTGGCAGACATACCCCTATGGGAGCCAGAATACCCAGATAATCTCACCATCCACCACTGTGTAGGCCCAACTCCACCCCCCTCCAGTGCACTTCACTGCCTCTCTATCTACACCCCTACCTCCGGCTCTAAGACTTTTACACAACCGGGACACTTCTTTTGGTGTAATGGCAGCCTTTTCAACTCACTGCCTCTCAACTCCGATACACCCTGCATTCTCGTCACCCTAATCCCACAGCTTACACTTTACAGCATGGCAGAATTCCTTGAGCTCCAACCTCCCTTGCACTCGCGCACAAAAAGGGCTGCTTTCCTTCCCATCATGGTCGGTATCTCTTTAATCACCTCAGCCATTGGGGTGGGGTTTTCAGGAGGAGCCTTGGGTCACTCTCTATGGGCAGTTAGAGATCTCGACGCCAAACTTGAGGGAGCCCTGGCATCCACTGCCGATTCCCTAGCCTCTCTCCAAAGACAAGTCACTTCGCTAGCTAAAGTCACCCTTCAAAACCGGCGGGCCCTAGATCTGCTTACAGCCGAGAAGGGTGGCACCTGCGTCTTCCTCCAGGAAGAGTGCTGCTATTACATCAACGAATCCGGCATTGTAGAAACTGACATCACCAAACTCACTGACCTTGCCTCCAGCCTCCACTCTGCTTCCAATTCCAACCCATTCTCGTCAATACTAACAAACCCCCTCCTCACCTGGCTCTGGCCCATTGCAGGCCCCATAATAGTCATTCTTCTTGTCTGTCTCTTCTTACCCTGTATAATAAAGTTCATCAAATCCCAAGTCGGGAAAATCTCTAATCAAGCTTTCAACCAGCTTTTACTCAGGAACTACCAGCTTCTGGCCACGGAAGACCCCTCACCCTCACGTGACCTCCTCACCACATGCTGAGATGGACCCCTCTCTCCGCTGGAAACTGTTCCTGGAAACAATGGCCGCAGACGCCTGGCTCCTGACACCCATATCCTCTTGGCACCATTGGAATCAACAGGTCCTCAACCTATGGTTACAGGGAACCTTCATTGATTTCCAACCTGAAGAAGTCCACATCTACTCATCCTTACTGTGGGGAGTCCTGTCAACCCTTTCCTCCCAATCCTCAAACCCTCACTCCCTTCTCCGCCCCTGTTCAGCAGGAAGCAGTCAGAAAGAAAGCAACGCCCACAAACCCATAGAGGAGAAAGGGGGGAATGAAGGGTCCCCACCAGTAAGATGGCGAACTTCCGGCTTCTTTTCGGGGTCCTCGGTTCCCGCCGGCGCCACCTGAAGCCCAATCACCTCTCGCCCCCCTCCCAATCCCAGCACCTAGCCAACAGCCACCAGCCCCGTAGAAGTAACACCACAATCACCCTATGCCCCATCCTATATAACCCAGTACCTTTCCCTAATAAAGCGGAACTCTCCGGTGAATTGCTGCTATGTGTCGCTCCTTTCCTTTCACTTGGGACTTTTTTAGATGGAGATTCAAACAGTAATACTTTCTCCTCTTTTCACATTGCTTATATTCTTATATATGGTGGAGACACTTGATACATTAAAAATAAAAGACTATGATATGTGTTTTGTGATATATGAGTCAAAGATTCTGAGAGTGAATAACGTTTGCAGAATAAAGGAGGCTTCATCAATGTGGAGCTGCATGTGAAGTTGTCTAAGTTCATGGAATATTCAGAGAATGGTGTCTCCTCTGGGATGGAGTATACAGTGAATGGGGGATAGTGGCAAGAAGGCAGGTCAAAGTTATATTACAAAAAAAGGACTGAAATCCCTTGCTAAGAAAATTAGAATGAATACTATAGGCAAAAGCAGGAGAATCCCATATTTGACCCTGTGATCCTTTAGACGTGGGTATTATTGGAACAGCCTGAAGCCAGGAGATCAGGAGTTTTTTCTCTGAAGACCACTTAGGAGCTACCTTAACAGGTGGAAAGATGACAAGGCATTAGGCCAGGAACGTTTCAGTGGCAATAAAGAGGCACGGACAGATGGAAAAAGTTCAGGGATAGTATGAGAAATGTTGCTCTGTGTTACCCGTACTCTGTATTATTATGTTCTCACCTTGATAGGTGAGTCTTTCTCTGACTCACCCTGCCAAAGGGCACATATGGGGGCTGTTTCCTAAGCTACTGTTATACTTCAGGTACACGTTCATTTGCGTGAGCATTAGATTGCCAGCTTCTTTAAGATAGGATAATATTGTTTGATCTCAGTGTTCCCCCTGCAAAAAGGTGTGCTGGATGGTAGTTGAATGAGTGGAAAATAGACATTCCTAAATGTAGATTATAGGCTATCTAGCAGTAAAAGCCATTGCTTTAAAGTTCAGTGATAACACACTACAATGATTACCATTCAACCAAAGATTTTGTAGCACTTAAGTTTTTTTTTAAATTAAGCGGGCAAACTCCCACAATTAGCCACCAATAGTGAGAGGCTAGAATACTGTCATCAAAATAACTTTTTTTCTCAGCTGATTTTGTCAGTGGTTATATGCAAGGGAGTCCCCCAAAAAGATATTACTCAAGACCAAGCACGTGAGAGAGATACCAGTCTCCACATCAGTGCGAAGTTGACCGAGAACCCAACACAAATCTCTTAATCCCAACTGCACGCCAGCGTGCCGGAACCAACCGTTAAAGCTGGGATTTCCAGTGGACGAGCAAGCATGTTGCGTTGGAGCGATTGCTTTTGCCTGGCGGAAGCCTATCAGGAGAGCACCGCGAACTCGGAGGCCGCTAAAGGGTAAGGTAGCCTGTGCGGTCCTCGTCGGGAGCAGCTTGAGCCGCTGAGTTTCGGGAGGACGCTGGGCGCCTGCTTAGCGGGGTGTCCATGCGGGTTGGAGAGTTCAGGCACGTTTACATCGGCCGTGCTACACGCCTTGCGCATGAACGAGACCCTTTGTAAAGGAGTCCCCACGGGGGTGATGGAGAGGTGAGGGCAGGGAAAGCTGAGGAAGAAGCGTCGGGGCGGGATTCTGGAAGGGGTGGGGCCTCTGCTCGGCGGGATCCAGACTGCGGGGAGCCTGAAGTGTGCGAGGCGGAAGGCGGGGACCCTGGCACGGACGGGGCGGGGAAGGATTGGGAGTTTTCAGACAATCCTTGTGGGCAAGGGTGAGAGACTTTTAGGAGGTAACAAAATTAACGTACCTCAGACCCAGATTTTAACTCAACTCTGGGTGACTACAAAGCCTGCATTCTATTAGTACAGTCGACGCTTCTCAGGATCACTGGGACTAAATGTAGTTACTTAATAATTGTGCAATTTTCGGCATCTCCATGCAGCAGTTTTCTAGTTTGTGAAAAGGGCTTAATTCGTATTTCACATAGTTGGTGTAGGAGTATTTGAAGTGTCTAATACGATGTCCGCCAAATGGTAAGAACTCTAAAAGTGGTAGCTGCGCTTTCTTCTATCGTTCTGTTACGTACCTTTAGTGTATTGCTGCTCACACGGTCATTGATTGTATTCTTGATGTGTTCTGTCCCGTTTACACTGAGTGCCCTCAGAATGGGGACTTTGTTTCATTGCTCAGGGTAATGTAGGTTGATACTGGTATAACAACGGAAGGATCCTGTTTTGGAATCCTTTAGATCCCAGTTGGAATCCAGATTATTCCCTTTACTGGCTATGTGACTTTGAGCAAGTTTGCTTTTGCAATCCTTAGGCTTGTCCTTAACCAGCGTAGTATGGATAAAGCTTTAGAACAGGAGGAAGGGCCTTCCAATCTGAGTTAAGTCCAGTTATACTAATGAGGCCAAGGACAAAGGTCACTTAATTTTAAACCAAACATAGTCTGTGTTTGGGAAGGATTATAAGCCTTATCTCTGGTGGCCCATCAAGTATACTAATTGACCTGTTGGCACAGTTGGAGTCAGGTATTCAGAAAATATTGTATGCAATGTTCTTAAATCCAACAAAACTGCTGGAATGAACTCAAGTAATACATGCTCTTTCCCATAAAGGAATATTATGTAAAGAGCAGCATATTACATATATCCCATAATTACTGTATCTTTAAGGTGGATTATATCCTGTGATACATACTAGTAATCTTCATGGAACAACATACAGAATAGGGTTTTAAAGTACCAGGTATACACTATTCTCTCCTTTCTTTCTCTGATAAACCTCTTGAAAAAAAATTAATTTGCTGCTTCAGCTTCTTCCCTACCCATTCCTTCCATTTCCCCGGCTGGCATGATCAGTGACCCACTACTTTCTAAATTTAGGACTTTCTCATCTTTGTCTACCCTGATGGTTCTATACTATGTGCTACCAAGGCTGACCTACTGCTTTTCAAAAACGCTGTTGTCTGATAGAACCCCATTGTGTTTCCTTTTTTTTTCCTTTCCTTTTTCTCTTTCCTTCATAGTTTTCTTTGGTCTGTCCATCAATCTGTATTTTACATCCTAGGCACTTCTAACATATCCAAACACAAACTTGATTCTTCTTCCAAGCTTTGTTCCCTACTCTTCACCTCCTTGGCTACCACTACTAGAGATCACCCAGGTCTTATTCAGTCTGTCTCTTTAACTGTCTCTCTATTCTGGTACCTATTTATTTTCCCCATCAACATAGGTTAGTCCTCAGTCCTATCTTACATTTCTATTCAGATTCGCATGTTTCCTATTCAATGGACAAGAAAATTTGAATGCTTGGGGACTAGTATTATCACGAGGTTTCTTCATGCACATATTTAGCTCCTAGCCTGGAACCCTGGACCGTTCTGAAAGGGGATATCTGGAGACTTGAGTTCCAAATGAACCAGGTGTAAGCATCTTTTTTTTTTCTTTTTAATCTACACTTGAAAGTAACCCAGGTTCATTTCTGTTGGATTCTATTAGTTACATGTAAACCCTAAAGCCAGCTTCAAGGGCAGAGGAATTAAGACTCCAACTCATGATGGCAGAATGGCAAAGTCACCTAGCATAAGAAAATGTGGGATTGGAGATATCTTTGGAAAATATAATCTGTCAGATATATATAATATATGTGTATGTATTTGTATGTGTATGTGTGTGTGTATATACACAAAGAGAGAGTTTTTTCTTTGCCAAAGAACAATATTCCTAAGTTACTCTCAACTTTTTTTTCTGTTGTTTTGCAGGAATCAAGGTTTTGCCCCTATCAGTGTCACTCCCTCTCTCCTCCCCAGAATTTTAGTAGTAATGCACATGGCTACTTGTGGATAAAATGAAGATTCCTGTGGCCAGGATTCTCACCTGGCCCTGGTTGGCTAGCTCATTACACACATGTGGCAATACGTTGCCATTGACTATATAAAGAGCTCTGCCCAGTGCTCTGGGTGACATGGTGGCAAGACACTACTACATACAGGAACATATCTTTGGACTGGGTAACTACTGTGCAGGCAAAATGGCATTTGCCACTTTAAGTATTTGGAATGATAAGTCTTACCAGCTCTTTACCTTAAGTATACCTTCATAAAGAGGAAAGTGATCTGGTTTCTCAGCCTTTATCACTAATCAAAAAATAGAGAACAGAATGTCTTCTTTCTTCCTGTAATTTGACTAATACATGTAATCTGAATTTACTGAAGTTTCCTGAGCATATTAGCAGATTACCAATCCTTTTCATGGTGTCCTATATCCTGGATTTCAACTAATAACTTTTTTGTCACTTCCATGTTGCTTTTCACCATTGGAGGAAAATTTTTAACATGTGCTTGAAATTATATTGATACATAGTGTCTTGCCAATGGATTTCAGCCCCGGGCAAGTTCCCTATGGATTCCATGGGACCAAGGAATAACAGTAGAATGTTCTTGGGGTGAAAGGGTTTATACCCAACTCTATTTCCACGGTGGCAGGTCAATCACTAGAATCCCGTCCACTCAGAGTAAGTCTGCATGCAGCAAGCCGGTCTCTGCCTCTGGGCCTGTTTTGCCGCACAGGCTGTCCTCTGGGCCTCTGTACCCACACAGCTGTCCCAGTCTCTGTCCTTGGTGCTACCACCACTCCAGCCTCTGCTCTGCTCTTCTTCAGCCTTGCAGCCATGCCACCGTGTCACCCAGAGCACTGGGCAGGGCTCTTTATATAGCGTCAATGATGCATTGCCCACACGTGTGTAGGGAGCTAGCCAACCAGGGCCAGGTGAGAATCCTGGCCACAGGAATCTTCCCTTTATCCACACATAGGCAGGTGCAATTTTTGAATGTAACACAGGGCTTTTGGAATTGTTATGGTAGTCTCCTAATGAGGGCCCCTAGGGCCAGAGAAAGAAGGTGCCTCATATTATGGTTAACTTCAGTTTGCTATAATGTGGTTAGGATAAGAGAAAGTTATAGCAGAAGAGTGAAATCCCTAATTTTGCCCTCCTCCAAGGTAACTCTGCTTTCCACTGGTAGTTACAACCCCAGACATACAAGTGTCCCTCAGGATTCTCTCATTCCCAGACTCTGTATTGTGCTTCCACATTTTTTTGTAATACCTGTGTAGACCTTACTGTATTAGTTTGAACTGTTTAATCTGTATTAGTTTTCTGTTGTGACAAACGACCACAAATTTAGTAGCTTAGAACAGTACAGATTTATTGTTTTATAGTCCTGGAGGTCAGAAGTCTGACATGGGTGTTACTGGGCTAAGATCAGGGCATTGTTAGGATTGCATTCCTTTCCTGGAGACTGTAGGAGAATCCATTTTCTTGCCTTTTCTGGCATATAGTTGCTGTCCACATTCCTTGGCTCATGGTCCCTTCCTCCAAATGCAGAGGGAGCAGTGGAGGGGTCGGTCCTCACATGACATCTCATCACTCTGACCTTTTCTTCTGTCTCTCTTTTCCACTTTTGAGGATCCTACTGATCACATTGGGACCACCTGGATAATCAAGGGTAATCTTACTGTTTTAAGGTCAGCTGTTAGCTACCTTAATTCCATCTATATCCTTAATTCCTGTTGGCCATATAAGATAACATATTCACAGTTTCCAGTGATTATAGCATAAGACATCTTTGAGGGGCCATTATCCTGCCTACTGCAAAATTTCTATTATTTTTTTGGAGAACTCCTATCTGAGTATGCTACTAAGTTGATAGGAAAAAGGTAGAAATATCATATCTCACAAATAATCATCATCATCATAATCTTCCATTAAAAAACAAGACATTAAATATGTTTGAAAAGTAAATAATAAACTTATACATATAAATCAACTCACTAAAATATTTAAATAATAAATGACACTATCCACAAGTTACCACTTGACACTTAAATTTTTTTCAGCCTTAATAATATCCAAAGAAATATGAGTCAATGATAAATAGTAGTCTGCCTACTAGATCGTCAAACATTAAAACATTTGATAACATAAAAGGTTAGTGAAAATGTGCAGAAATGATGCACACTCATTCACTATTATTAGTATTAATTTGATAGAAATTTGATGAATTTATCAAAATTTAAAATGGCTATCCCTTTTGACTTAATACTTCCACCTCTGCAAAGTAAATATTCAGATGTTCTTTAAAATACTATTATTTATTTTGAAGAAAAAAAAAGGAGACCATGTATGTATATAAAAGAAGCTTTGATGTGTATAAATTATGATATGTCTATATGTTAGGATAATTCCCATCCCTTAAAAAATGTATGGGTGGAAGACTTCTAGTTCTGGCCAAGATGGAATTATCCTCATCCTGCCCTAGTACTCCCTCTTACAATTAAAAAACGCATGGACATAATTCAACAGACAAATACAGGAAGACTCTAAAAAGTGGAAAGAAGGTGGCAAGACTACCTAGTGACCTCATAAAACCTAGTTAAGAAATGAGATGAAGTAGTCACCTGGACGTTTCCCTTATCTTGTTGCATGCAGGTCTTTTGGTAAATAGCCAAGTGTATTTAAAAAGGAAGAAGTCCTTTATGGAGAAGTCAGCTCATCTTAGACCTCTGCAGAGTTGCTCCTTTGTTTCAGAG